CTGAGACCCCCAATTCTTTAATTCTGCATAATTAGGGCTTCTGTGTCTCTAATTTGACTCTTCACTTCAAAATTCTTGTTGCAATTTTGAATGTTGCTGTCATTTATGGACTCATCTGCCACCGAATCTGCTGAATTTGATTCGAAAATGACCTCCTGTGCCATGTTTTCCGTCACTGCCCTCTTTCCTTTCTTATTTTTCTGTAGCCGAAACCCCTTAAGTCCGCCTGACTGCATGTAGACAGATCTGCAGGTCTTCACTCTTCATTTCTACTGTTTCTTCTTTTTTTCCTCCCCCTTTTTGGTCCAGTTCGGCATCTCCCCTGCATCGTCGGCCATATCTTTCCAGAAGCTGTCTTCCTTTTCGGTCATCACGTGGGAAGCTGCCTTTTTTACCATTTTGGAGGGCTTTCTCAAAGAAGTTGGGTTTGGATCTTCATTGATTGGCCCAGTAACATTACCCAAAGATAATGAGTTTAATTCTTCATAGTATGGCCCATCTTCATTAGGCCCGTTTCTCCCATCCTCCGAATTCAATTTCTTTGCCGGCCCAATCGGCTCAATTTCTTCTCCCTCTTTCCTTTGCCTCTCTTCAGCAACTGTAGTCTTGTCCGATGCGAGCTCTGATCTGCTTTCTTGTGAAGCTTCCTCCTCTGCCCCCTTTTTGAAAAACTCCCTGTTCCCGATGTTTTCCTCGCTGACATCCAACTCTGCTCCCTTTCCGCTCCTCTCTTCCTCGAGCCCAGCAATCATTAAATGTTTTCTTGTTGAGCCTTCCTTCCCACCCGTTGTAACCTCGTTTGCTTTTTGAAAACATTCATCTGGTCCCCCTGTCACTGAAGCCTCATCTTCTATCCCTTCGGCAAGACCTTTTTGATTATTTTGGTGATTCATCGACATTTTTGCTGAGCTGTCAACTGACAAGTGTGTCCTCGTGTCTATTTCTCTTGCCTCATCTTCTAGCTCTGTCTCTGGAACACGTAGATCTGTTGCCATGTCATCATCTTCTTCATCACCCTGAGCTTGCTCGGATTCTATATCACCCGAATACTGATCTGAATCCTCATCAGAAGCTTCTGCTGACCATTTATCTTCATGCTCCTTACTCCCCTTTAACTTGAAATATGAATTCATTATGTATAGACCATTGCTGGACTCCTCCTCTGAAAATTTTACCTTGTACAGGACCCCATTTATCTTTATGGTTAAGGACTTTGAGA